CAGCAACATCTAGCTGATTGGCTCCTCCACGGAGCTGCTCATTGGGTGACTTCTTTGGCTCTGCCCACGCAACCCAGCCAATCGGCCTCAAGAAAGGAGGATTGTGGGAGGTTGAGAGGCTGGTGTGGGGGAGAGAGGCTTGTGGAAGCCGGTGGTGGCAGTTGGGCTCTGAGGGTTTTTCCCTGGAGCTGTTTTGTTTGGCGTTTGTAGTTCTAAAAATAAAGTTAGTTTCTTTTTGACAAGTGGCTCCTGATTTGTGCCAAGCCAGACTTCGGCATCGTCTCACAAAACTCTTCTCCTGAGCATTCTGCTTGGATTGGCAGTGGCTATCAGTGCCAAGGGCTTGGGCCTGGGCTGGTGCTGCTCTCCTACAGTCAACTGGGTGAAGGCTCTCCAGGCCTCAGTCCTCGTGGCAGCGTGAGCATGAGAGAAGGTCACTTACACCCAGAGCACAGGTGGCATCCTGCTTGTGTGCTGTGCTTCTAAAAGGGGCAATGACTTAATGCTGTGGTGAAAAGGTAGCACAGGGTTCAGGGAGGATGTCCAGAAAAAAAGCACAAGTGCTAAGTGAAGTCAACACCTCTGTCTGATGGGCATCGAGGGCAGTGCCTGAACAGACTGCGTCAGTTCAACTCCACAGGAGAAAAATGGGTGCACTCTGGGCCAAACATTCATTCACAATAAGCCCACTGAGGCTGAGCAAATGCTGGCATTTTGCATGCATCCTGGCTGAAGGAGCTCCCCCAAACATCAGAGTATATACAGGAATGAAACAGTCTCATTTCAGTCTGACTCATCTGGCTATGAGACGTGAACTTTCCTTATCATTTCATCCCCAGGTTCCTAAAAGTGCACTGAGGCCCTTGCCCAAGCTGAATGAGATTCTGCTTTGTCCACTGGTAGAAGGAGACAGGCCATAAAGCTCTCCAGAGAAGCTGTGAACCCTGGCAGCTTGTAGCAGATCAACCCTAGCTAGGCTCTGATGCCTTATCTTCATGGCCTCCTCTCCTCTCCCCGGAGCAGACTAACCTGGCTACCAACATCATCTCTAAGGAGTGGGGAGAGGTCCAGGAGGTTTGCACAGGTTAGGTGCAAAACACAAAGGCTGCCCACACACAGTTGCTGTCTGTGCTGTGACTGCAAGATGACAAAGCTGTCTGTAGCTCAAATTCTTAAATTTACAGGCAGATGGCAGATGGGATTGAGAGTGAGTGAGGCTGCCCTCATGACAGATGGACCAACACATTTGCACGTGCCTCTAAAGGCGAGACCACAGTGGCCTCTGACAGTGGAGTTAATCCTGCAAAAAGCCTAAAGTCTCCAGGGACCAAATCCTGAGACTGAGGCTGATGGTCAGATTAGCTAGAACTGCTCTGGTGTAAAAGCCAGGTGTGGCCTTAGAGTAATGAAACCAACATTCTCATGTGACCCACAAGCTGATGTTAGAAGAAATGCCATGGGCAGAGGCAAGACCACCAGAGGCAAGACCAGACATGCTTCGGGGATGTTCAAAAGAAAACCTGTGGGAATACCCAATCTGATGCACTGTGTTCTGCCTGAATGCAGGCACAGTATAGACCGTGGCCTTGAACGATTACTGGTATCTGGATCACAGATAAAATCACTACTAATAACAAGTGTTAGCACTACTCAAGTTTAAAAGGGTGGACTGGAGTCTGTGGCACTTTAACCACAGTCTACCTGCCCTGCGGCCTCAAGGGGTGGCGGGAAACGCTAATGGGTACAGCTGGTCAAGTGGGGACAGAAACGTGGGCAAAGGGAGGATTTAACCTAAACAAATCTACTACAACTAAGTGTTTGCAGTCATACATGGCAACAGCCTCCTTTGGGGAGACAGGAGGGTGTTAAGAGGACTGTGGGTTTCTCCATAAGCCCCCGCCCGGGGCAGTGGCTGGGGCTCAGCTCCCACATGAGAACACAGACTTGGTCTGGCCAGATACTCAGACTCCCAGAGAAGCTCCAAATTCCAATTTTTATGTGAAATGTCCTGATTTTTAAATGTTTACAAAATTAGACTTGTTACTCTTGATTCAAGTCACCCTGGTGAAATGATTTAAAGGAGGCTGTGATATCAGGGATGGAGAAAACCGAGTCATTAGGCCCTAACCTTTGCTCTTTCCCCGTCTATGAAAGCGTCTCCCCATAGGAAACCCAGGGCTGGAAGCCTCGTCCTTCCCACCTGCAGCAGACGCTCTTTTTCCCAACCCTGCTCTTCCTGCGCAGGATGGGGGATCCACTCACTCTCACCAAACAGCCACTTGGCTGCTTCCTGGGGCAGATGCCCTGACCTGCCTCCTACTTATAATTATTTTTAATCCAACCAAACAAGAAATGTGTTTCTTCTAGCAAAGTTTGGAAGCATCTAAGACCCCGAGTCTAAGTGAAGAGCGATGGCTGGTGTCTACCTGGCGTCTGAGTGCTGGATGCATGCAGCTCCAAGGTAGACACACAGCCCCTGTGGCAGCTCAACCCAAGGGAAGAGTCAGCCGCAGAGACAGATGATTTAAAACACAGCATGTCGAGAATGGCCCGTGCAGACTGTCTCCAGGGGGAAGAGGGTGGAGTCATGACCCTGCGCTGGGGTCGAGCAAGCTCAGCAGAGGGGACTCGAGCCCTGTCTGAAAGGTGGCAAGGAGTCTGTGGAAAGCAGGAGCCGGGAGAAGGGGCACTAAAGGCATAGAGACCAACAAGCAGACCAGGAGTGGGCCAGGGATGTGGCGTGGGAACTAGAGGTCCTGTGGTGGGACGTGGAGCATGGGGCCTAGGGGAGAGGAGGAGGGGAGAGAGGAAGACACGGAGTAGCTGGTGCAGATGCCTCAGGGTAGGCAGTGGGCAGACATGGCAGTCCCCCCATCTATTGGGAACCTGGCCACTCTGACTAGTAGGGCCAAGTGACAGTGGGAAAAAAAAAAGAAAAAGAAAAGACTTGGGTATTCCCAATTTCTTATGGTTCATTCTATCACACAGAATGAGGCTACAAAGTCTACCTGGGCAAATAGCAGGATCACCTGGCTGTGAGGAGGAGCAGGGCAGAAACCCTGCCTGCTTCCCAAATCTCCCAACAGACACGGAGTTTTAGGGAGACATGGGTCCTCAGCTTCCGTCAGCTGGAATCCTGGGTTGGTGATCCTTCTGGGGTCCACACCCCACCCCTGCTGAGTCCTGTTCCTACACCTCTGTTCAGGATCCACTCAACACTGCACTTGTGGGAAAACAGGCCTGGCAGGACTCACAACCCGCATGGTGACAACTGTCTGCTCATTCGCTTTTGCAGGCAGGTAGTGTAGAGTGTGGTTCTTGTGGATTCTTATATTTTCAAAGCCTTGCCTGGTGCTGGTGAATGATTCTCAAAAATCAACCATCAAACACATAACTACAATCTCGAGAAGGAGAGCGCATTGAGGCTGACGGATGCACAGCCATGTCCCCCAGAGACATTTTCCTTCTCCCAGCCTGCAGCCCGCCCACCCGCCCCCCCCCCAGCCGCCGGGTGCAGGAGGTACCTGGTTTCTCCAGGGAGGAAGGTGATAGGCATGGTTTCTGGGCAGCCTTGCCCGGGGTGCCAGCGGGCTCTGCAGGCGGAGCAGAACTCCATGTCGCATGCTTTGCACTGCACCAGCTGGGGGGTCTGTAGTCCCATGTCCTGGAGCTGGCACACAGCCTGGCAGGAGGATGCTGGGCACCATGTCCGGCATGGATCGAAGAGCACCTCTAGCAACAGGAGACAAGACAGGTGAGTCAGACCTGGAGCACGGGGGGGCTCACAGGATGGGCCTGGAGCAGTTCTGTTGGGCACTGACCAGTGTGGGGAGCAGGAAGGAGGATGTCTAGGTAAGGCGACCAGACAGGTCAGCCCTTGCAACTCTGTCCTGCTCTCCCACCTCTGCTCCAGCTCCTCCTGACCTCCAAGCCTGTTCCTGTGGTGCAGCAGATTTCCAGACACCCCAAGTGTCCACGGGGATGCTGCCCCTGTACTTTTAACCAACTGTGTCCCCCAGGAAGGTCCTGCTCACCCTCTAGGACAGGCTCAGAGCTCTCAGGGCCCTGCACTCTGGAGAGCTGTGCCCTCCTGTCACTGTATGCATTTTGAGTGCTGGCACTATGATTCCTTGTCTGCCCCAAGGACACAGCTTCCTGAAGTCAGGCCTGTGTCCTCTTATGGCCTCAAAATGAGGCCCAGGGCTCAGCAGTCTGCACTTGGGTCACACTTGTTAAAAGACAGTCAGAAAGGAGGAAAGGAAGGTGTCTGAATTAGATGGCTCATCTGCCTAACATTGTCTCCCTTCCCAGATTTAAAAAAGCCACAAGCTAAGTACTGAGTAAAATTAATCCTCTGCCAGCCGGATTTCACCTCTAAACTAGAGCCCCAGTCACTAAGAATCCCGATTTAATGGAATTAGTCAGGAAGTTTATTTTTAAAAACAGGATATGCTGACACTCCTATTTCTTCACATCCTTTTCCAAAAACTGCATTTATTTAAACAACTGGTCCTGGGCTGCCCTTTGCAGTCAGCCTGGCTGTTCCCTTCACCCACTCCTGCCCGGGCAGACACTGATTTCTCAGTGAGGCTGGGTGGGGGAGGAGGGGTCACATGGAATGCCTGCATTCTGCCAGGAGGTGATCAGAGGCCAGTAGCTCCAGGGCTCCTGTCAGCTTCTGGCTCCTGGGCTGCTCAGTGAGGTAAGGCCATCCTTGAGAAGCAATCTTGGGAATTGTGCTGAGGCAACTTGGAACACAACAAAAAGCCCCAGCAAACTTCTCAGCCCTGTGACTGGTGGCCAGACGGGTCCCGCTCACCTGCACGGAAGATGGGAGCTGGACTCACTGGGGATCTGCAGCAGGCTGGGGTGGAGGGGCCCAGGCCTGGCCTGGACAACATGGTGACTAAATCCCTAGCCACCCTCAGGTATGTGCCCTCCTGGGGTGAACCCATCCCTCAGTGAACCAGCAGCCAGACTCAGAGCTCCAGAAACAAGGTCCTGTTGGGTGTAACCTTGCAAATGACCTAGTCATTTAGCACAGGGGCTGGAACCTTGTGGGAAGGGCCGGGCAGTGATTAAGCCTTTGCGGACCATGCGGCTTCTGTGGCATCTGCTCGGCTTTGGATAAACAAAGATCCGGGAAACCCACATGACAGCATGGCTGGCCACCTGCTGACCCGACAGGACTGTCTCCTGGGCGAATCAACCAACAGCACAAAGCCACCACCTCAGTAGGGCTGGCGGAGAATCAGGAACTTGACAGCAAAGGGGCCTGGAGCTAAGGAACCTGCGGACCCCCTCAAGGCGCCCCTGGTGTGAGAGCAGAGACAAATCCAGCCTCAAGTGGCCGACAGTTTCCCTGCAGAGGTTCCCGCTGTCGGGCACACTCTGGAGGCAGAGCCAGGTGACACAGCAAGCACAAGGTGTGCTCCTGTAGCTGGGGGCATCGGGTGCTCCTTGCCATCTGCCAGAACTCAGGATGGTGCAGGAAGTGACCTGGGCAGCTCCCACGGGAAGGACAAGCTGCTTGCTTGCCTGGTGGCCTTCGAGGCCCTGATTCAAGCCTGTGCCTTTGCTTGCTGGCCCCGCCTGCCCTCTGTGCACTGTGGGTGAGTCCAGCCTGGACCCGGACTAGGTAAGTGTCCTCCACCTGCACAGCTACGACACAGGCCCGCAGGACATGGGCTCACACACCTGCTGGACACAGGATTCAGAAGGGGAGTCCTCCTGCTCCTGCCTCTCTGGCCAGTGTGCTGTTGGCTGGCAGCCTGCCCAGAGCCGACCGTCTGCCTAGACCATCAGGTCCCACACTGGCCACCCCACCCTGTGCCCTGAGAGCCTCTGACAGCAAGACTTCCCCAAATCGGCCACCTCTCCTGCCCTTCCCAGAGCCTACCACCTCCCATCCCCACCCCCGCACGACAGTGAGAGAGTCCAGCTCCCTGCTCAGGGGAGGCCCATTCTGCCCACACGGAGGGGAGCAGAGGCCTAGTGAAGGTTTCCATGGTAACAACTCAATTTTGTGACATCAGTCCTTACAGAGATGTGCCATGGCACTGGCTGTCCCCATGTGAATTCCCTATGGGCAATGTGCTGACTGCCAGCTCCTGCATGGCCAGGGCCATTAAACCCCAGGAACACAGCCCCTGGTTTCTGGCTTGGACAGCTATTAATATCCCACTGTCCTTCCCAGCTGTGTACAAGACAGGAACCGACGGACAAGGAAGTCCACAGCAGGCAGCTCCTGCGTTGTGTGCCTATCTACCTCCCCACCTAGGTGTGTCTCATGACAACCAGCACTAGACACCACGTCTTGCATATCATGTTATGTCCACCATATTCCATTCATGCATATATGAACCCTATTTTCAAACAAGGCAAACAAGGCATTTTCTGAAATGGTGGAAGAAACTAAATAGAACTCTGATCCCCAAAGAGCTTTTAAGGCTGCTTGTGACTCAGGATGGTGAGTTAGTTCTAATATTAGATTCTTAACTAATCTTAATAAAAGAGGGTCCCAAGAGCTTCCTATTTGTAAAAAATGTTCAATGCTTTTCAAAAAGGTGTTTTGTTCCAACAAATTTGCTGTAAAGGACAAACCCAGCACACTTTCAGGGACTGCACTGCCCACTGGCTGGCACCCTGGTGCCAGCCATTGGTGGTGGGTGGGGCTCTGCTGGGAGACAGTGAGCTAAGCTCTTGTCGGGCCTGATGTCTGGTGGGCACCCCATATCGTTTAACCTTACTGACCTTGGCTTTCTTTTTAAAACACAAAACACAGAACAAGGCTTGACCTTGGCATTCCTTTGCCCAGGAGCCATACACAAAGTGGGACAGAGTACCCAGGAAGGTGCAGTCCCTCTCCTGGGAGGACATGGACTTCAGATAGATGGACTCAGAAAAAACACCTGCAGCCTTGCAGGGCGGGTGCTCAAACAGGAGCAGAGATGCTGCAGGAAGGCACACGGCGGGGTGATCAGCAGACCCCCTCTCAAAAGCCTGTCCCCACCAACGTGCTAGAGGTAACCAGGAGGGAGAGAGGGAGAGAGGGAGGCGCTCAGGGAGGATAGCAGCTTCAGTGACCCTCCCCTTGGTGCCTGCTGGCCAAAGGCTTCAGCTGGGGAGGTGGGTAAGTTTAAATTAAAGTCAAGGCTGCTAAATCAGATGTGACACACTAAGTCTAAATAAAGACACATTTGCAACTTAAACTCACGACAGGATTTTTTGGTAACTAAATGCTGTTGGGAAAGCACTGAAATTAGTTTCCTTCTAAAACTTCCTCCACTGACCAAACTGTAAGGACACAGCAAGTCCAAGGTTGCTTTCTGACCACTTCTCCAAGCCTGCTTGTTCAAGCAGCTAGATAAAACCCATAGCTATGTTTTAGCTCTGATGTGCTCCTGTTTCATTCAGACAGGTCTTTTGGGGTATTAAGTCTGGATTCTTAAAAAAATTCTAGCACAATGTCAGTGAGCGGTTTTCAAGTGGCAGCTTTGAGGTGGTTCTTTTCTGACCTAAGTCAAGTTGGCTTCATTTTTATACAAGAGAAAAAACATTTTTGATGAAGTCAACGTACTAAGAAAATAAGATAAATTTAGTAGGCAGGAGAATTTGCACAGCTGCATTTTTAAATTAAATTTGATGTCATAGAAAGTTCATATTCTTGTAACCTAAGCAACCCCTCGTTTCTGTCAAGATTCTCCCCGGAAAATATTTTCAGAAGAGACTAAAAGCCTCACGAATCCTAATTAATCAATTTTATAGCTCCCGACACTCACTTCAGCACTGAGTGATATTACACTTAAGCTTTGAACTGCCCCAGTGTAAAGGATAAATGCCAATTAAAGAAACAAATCCTTTAAAACCAGTTTCAGAGCCATGAAAACTCCTGTGTGATGTTCATGGGGCCGGACATGCGGGTGCTGCTGCCGCCGGGGATGCAGGCCTGGGAGTGGGGGAATACAGCTATCCTCAGCATTTCTGCAGAACAATTTTCAAAAATGAAGGCCATGAGCTTTCAGGGACACGTGGCTTTGGCCTGCCCTGCCGTACACTGCCACCTGCCCAGTGGTCCCTAGAAGCCAGTCACCCAGGCTGCAGGTCAGCTGGGTAGAGAATCCTGGTGAGGGCTAGACCTGGTTGGGACAGAGGGAGAGTGGGCCCAGGGGCCACCAACCATGCCAAAGACCCCAGAGCCCTGTGCAGGGTCCTCACAGTGTGGTCCCACAGAAGGGGACCTGCCCATGTCTCTCCCACTGCTCTTTTGCAGATTTGTAGGCAGCCTGAGGCCCAGAACATACATGAAAATGAGTCCAGGGGGGCCCACAGCCTCTTTCCAAGACATTTTATGATCTGGGGGACTCTAGAGAGCAAGGACAGAGGCCCCTCCCTGACGGTCAGACTGTTTAATGCTTTGCCTTGTGACCCCAAACCAAGTCAAGGCTGCTGTCTACTGGCTCCCCACTCAACCCCGTGGTCCTAGGGACGATCCCGCGTCTGCATTAGGCTCCACTCCAGCAAGGAGAGCTGTGCAGGGCCGAGAGGGGAGGGTGAGGCTAAGGGTTGGGGATCTGGTCCCACCTGCCTGTTAGTGCTAGAAACCAGGAAGTCGGTCGGCCCACCTCTCTGGGCCTCAGCCTGGCAGATGCCAGCCAGCCTGGTCGAGCTGTGATGCCGAGACCTGGGGCCTGATGATCCACCAGAGTGACTATCTCTACCTCAGTCACAGCAGGCAGGGAATCTATGCAGGCTGCAGACCTGGACTCGGGCTGTTCTCAGGGCAGGGGTCCTGAGAGGTACCACTTCCTTGATTTTCATCTTTTAAATTCAGGGCTAGACTCAGAGTTGAGTCATGAAACTGTTAACCTGCCTGCAGCAAAATGTCCCATGAAGGTCATATCCCTTTAAGGCACCCGCACAAAACTCAGTCCCCATAAACAAATGGCAGTTCTTCCTGCTACCAAACAGAACACTTGCCGAGGCCTTCCCGCTGTGAGCTGTTCAGAGAATTCAAAATGTCAGCTCAACTCTAGAAGTTCAATTCACATAAAATTTTTTGATCCTATTTTATAGCTTTTTCACTCCTATCAAATGATATCCACTTACACCTCCCCAGAGAAGCCCCCCCCCCCACCACGGAAAGTTGCCTACATTGTTACAGCATCTTAACTGGTCAATACACTGGGCCACCTACCTCTTTCAAATTGTAGCTTTTTATACCTTTGCATAATTTCAGCCGCGACCATGCACTCAATCTAAAAGAAAAGAACATACAAACGAATAGAATGAGCGGAGGGCGAGAACAGGAGGCAACATAGACCCGAGCAGGACCCGGAGCGGGCGGGAGCTATGCCACCACAGTAGTGCCGTGGGCAAACCAGTTTGCTCATCTGCACGTGCCTCGTCCTCCTGCAGGCGACCCTGTTTGGGGCAGGCAGCATCCGGGCAGCTAATTGCAGTCTCTAGTCCTTCTTTGATCAAGAGCTCAACATACTGTTTCAGGCACTGAAAAAGAAGCAGGAAAGCACATGTCAGCATCTTCCCTTCCTCAGTGAAAGGCGCAGTGAGGCGCTGAGACACTGACCGGCTGAGCACGCTGCTCCACTACAGTTTTACATCTTCACTGTGGATCTCATAGCAACCACCAAAGCAGAGATTTAGCAACAGTTTTTCATCTGCCAAACGACCCTAATCTGCGCCAGGGACTGTGTGCCGGCTCACAGGGCCCAGTGGGGCTTAGGCCCTGCACACAACCTCAGCACACAGAAGCCCATCCCTCATCCTCACATCAAGGAGTATCCCAAACAAGCCCATGTCGGGCACTTCCCTAAACTCTTTACCATCCACCATTCCACTTCATCTTTAGAACGTTCCCACAAGAAACACGGATAGGATGGTCCCACCTTTCAGATGGGAAACTGAGTCACCCGAGAAGAATGTGAAGCTTACCAGACAGCAGGAGCTGGGTTCAAACCCAGGTTCACTTGTTGGAGTGTTCACCCTGTCCTATGAGAAGCCACGGACTGCGGTCCTCCTTTAGCACACCTCACCCTACCTGGCAACGACTGATTCCAACTGTACTTTTGGGGAGCACTGTTTAAAATTTGCAGTGAGCCCAAAATACCAAGCGGGAGACATTAGGCAGAGTGGATAGTGAAGGCGATGACACCCTCTCAGCACCGGTTTCCTCTGGCTTTACCTCACTAGGTACAGAAATCCAGTGTCCCCAAACAGCACATCATAAGCCAGGCCTACCCAGGTGGCCCAGACCTAGGGAGACCGGGACAGGAACATGGAGGAGCTGAGCAAGAACTCAAAGAGCGTAGGAGAGTGGGGCCAGGTAGGGAAAGGAAAATAAGGCAGAACACCTCAAATCAACATCCACACCTGGTCCCAGACCACACTGAAGCAACCTTACTATGACCCTATAGTAACACCATTAAAATGCACAGTGATAAAAGGTGATCAACTTCACTAAGAGTGCGTGGTTATAGGAAGGCATGGATGCATGGGTGCAACTGCAGGCCAACTGAAAGGCCTGCTCTTCTGTGAGTAGCAGCACTGTTACTGTCTCTCCACCAGTCTCACGTTCCCAGTCCACAGTCTGATTAATCTACCTGACAGTTGTGAAAAAGCCTAGAAAAATTCATGGAGAAGAGTATATTCCTGATATAAAGAGAATCGTTTGATCTAAATGGGTAATTCTCTCCATTCTTGCAAACCAGGATATTTCATTCATCAAAGACTCAAGATAGACATTTCTTTAAAAATGGAAATCAAAGCCATCCCCTGAGAAAGCTGCTTCCCAGAGCTTTTCTCCAGAGTGATGGCTTCCGGTGCAAATGAGAACGTGGGTAGCTGTGAGCAGAGGCCCTGACATTTCAGCCTCTATTCCTGTGGTCTGCTGAGGCTTTGATGACTGCATGGCCCTGAACTTGAAAGGTCATGGCTACATCTACCTTTTGGCAGCCCATCCTTCAGGGACAGAGCCCCTGTAGCACCAGGCAGAGGCAAGCCTGGTCTTGGACACTAGGTGGCAGGGTTGTCAGGGATGAACTCATCACCCCTCTGAGAAGGTCTTCCCCAGGCCGAGCCCTGCGAGGAGGAAGAGTGGAGTCTTGCAGAGCCCACCAAGGCTGTATCTGCTCTGGGCAGAACCGATGACCCACCAGGAGGCTCTGCTGCTGGTTCAGTGGGTGGTGATGGGCCACGGCAATGACCTGCTTATAGCAGGAGGAGAAGTGGAAGGTCCTGCCTGTGTCCAGCCAACACAAGGGGCAGCAAGACCCTCAAGGGCATGGGATGAGACACAAGCAATGCTGGTCGCTGTACTAAGAGGCATGGCACAGTGGCCCAGCGCATTCAGGCCAGAGCTCCCTCGAGGGTAAGACAGGGATGCCCGTCTTCCTGGGCTTCTGCAACAGTAAGAAACAGTACGTAGAAGCATGTGTCATACAGCACCAACTAGGAACAGTGGCCTTGCTCCCTCGTCTGCCCAGCCGATCAAGGACTTATGAAACCCAGGCCCTCCACAACAAGCTCATTATTTCACATTCTATAATTAAGTTTGTTCTCCGTGGGACACGGGAATGTCTTAAGTCAATGGAATGCTAAAAACTCTGACGCCATTGGGCAGAGCAGTTCATAATGACAGAGCACTGTTATCCCTAAGATTCAAAACACAACAATTAAGACGGGTGTGAAAAGTCTCTCAACATCACTGTCCAAGAGCCTGCATGTGGCAAGGAGGCTGAGTGGCATCTGGCTGTAAGCAGCCCAAGTGTGGACGCCAGTGCCCTCAGAAGATGTCTCCCCGTACAGAATGCAAGAGGGTCCGTCTAGGGAATAACAACTTGTTTACCACAGAGAGCAAAAGAGGGTCTGAGTGGCTGATTGTGCCTCCATCAAAACTGGCCCGTCTTCTTGCAGTTATGAAGTGGGTCATGACTCAGCCATGTTTCTCAACCTGGCAGCAAAAATGTCTTGGAATGTGCACAAAAGCATGAACAGAGAAACTTTTGTGACAATAAAGATGCAGTTCCAAGGCAGAGAGGAACACAGTTTCTCACGATCCTATCTATTGTAGCTCCCAGGGATCGAGTGCCTTCCAAGTGCCCGGCTCTCTGCTAAGTCACCTACGTTACCAAAGAAGCATGCACGAGGGTCTAGGAGGTGTTACTGCACCCCACCCCCCCGGCAGAAACCAGGCTCTGAGCAGCCGTGCTCTGTAAGCACAGCACCAGGTGTGCCTGACTTCAAAGTTGGTGGGTTTTGTTGAATGGGTTCTAACTTTTTGCCTACTTCTTCCTCGATTAAGAACTCTTCTATAAGCAGCCATTTATTAAGTCTTTTCTGATATCTCAAGCATTGTAGGGCAAAGAACCATGTGTGTGCCTTCATCCGAGTCGTGGCGAGCACGGGGTGCTACGACTGCACTGAGCCCCCAGACGTGCAGACCTCCTGGCCTGGAGGGAGGAAGGTGAGCATCACCCACTGTGTTCTGTGCCATGGGCCATGACAAGGGGTGGTGGGGCGCTGCCTGGCCACCTAAAAGCAGAGCTGGGGTCCCTCTGGGTGGGGCCAGGGAAGACTCTGGGAGATGAAGGGGGCCCGAGGGACAAAGGAATTCCAGGGAAGAGGCATCAGCTGCCCGAGGGGAAGAAGGGGAGAGGCTGTGGAGCCACAGAATGTTCTAGGCATTTCATTTTCCACTGTGGCTTCCAACTCTGAAACCCAATGAGGAGACAGCCTGCTGATGTGCAGAGGTTTCCTGCCAAGAAGAAGTGGGACAGAGACGTAGCTGCCTCCCTCCAAACTACAGCAGGTCTGTTTTGTCTCTTCTCCTCCCAGGCCTTGGCTGCCGAGGTCCCTACCCGCAGAGGGAAGCACTCAGATACTATACTCAAGGGTGCCTGAGTGCCCTTGGCCTACCAGGAACCACAGCTTACGAACATCAGCCACAGGCTGGCCCAAACAGAAGCATGGACCCCCAAAGAACAGGGTTTGAGGAGCAAGGGCCCTGGAGCTCCAGAGTTGGCTGGAACTCTGGCTCACCCACTTATAGCTGTGATGAGGCCTCACATCCTCCGGGTGCAGAGTGAGCCTGGCAGAGAGAAAGGTGGCCCCAGGACTCAGGCTCCCCGGGCGTTCTTCAGCACGTCTGGAGCCATTGGTACCAGGCCTCCATTAGTGTTTCTCCCCGACCCGACGGCAAGTTCTTTGACAGTAAGAACTGTGTACTACTTTTCTTATAGCTAGCAGTGCTGGTAGGCAGGGAGTGATAGGCCAGTGCTGTGCATAGGGATGGACAGACGTGCAGAATGTGCCCAGAGTAACCAGCTGCCTGGCAGCAGGCATTCCTCTGCATCTCAGCAGAAGAGCTGGAGACCCCACAGAGTCGTCTACATACTGCTCTGGGGACAGCTGAACGGCACAGCCCCGCCCTCTGATAGACCCCACAGACCATGGCAGAGGTGGAGGCTCCACCAGCACAGCCTTGGGACAGCTTCGTGGGGCCCTGCAAGCAATCCTGCTGAGTGGCCCGCCCTGCAGGTAGAGCTAGGGATGGCACTGGGGAGGGACAGTGAGCACTTGTTCCTGGAAGGCTGTGGACTTGGTCCCGCATGACTTATTGCATGGAGAGTGAGCTGTGCCTGCTCTGTTCTCTTTCCAGACACCTGTGACTGCTAATGCCCTGCTGCCACCTCTTCCAAGAGGTCGGTCTAATTACTCAATGAGTTGTCAGGTCAGAGGAAAGTAAATCTCTGTCTCCTCATGTGGGATCAGGCTGCCCTGGTAAGAAGGAATCAGAGCAAACAGTTTTCAAAGTGTCCTTTAGCCCAGGGCCCCTGTGTTCTGATGAATATCCACAGGATGACCTCATGTGTCTAGAATAGTTGGAATCAGGCTGTTCTGCTGGCTGGCAGAGACCATGACCTGAAACCCCATCCCTGCCTGAAGGCCAGCCCCAGGGCTCAGGACCAGGTGCTTCCATGGGCACAGACCAGGCCTCTCCTCTGAGCCTGAGCAGTGCAGAGGTCGGGAAGTCCAGCAGCCAGGGCGGCCTCTACAGAGGCCTCCCCTGGGGTTGGCTCTCAAGTGGAGGCAGGCAGCCCGGGGGTATGGACAACTTGGCCTGGGCATGGTGAGTTCCAGAGCTGAGAAGAGACCAGAGGACGGGTGGGCATGAGCCGGCAAGCAGGGTAGTGTGGGGGTCCGCATCCTCAGAATCTGGTCCTAACCCCCAGCGGAGGACTTTGCTCAGAGAGCTTTAGTTAGTTTCTCCAGCCTGTTGTGCGTTCCCTAGTCTGTAGTATGAAAAACGCCATGAACGTGGAAGGGTTCTGTGAGCCCTTAATGAGAAATGGCATTGGCTCCTCCCACTTGGTGTTCTGTGCCATCTCCCAGCCCACACTTTCACCTGCGGTCAGGCCCTGGTGTCAGAGCTGGGAGGGAGACAGGGCTGCAGCAGTCCCCACTGCTCACCTTACCTACCAGGTGGGCTGCACACCATGCTCCAGGGGGAGAGGGGCTCCCTCAGACAGCACGCAGCATGTGCCTCACCTCAACTAGGGATTGTGGCTCTCCGTTCTGAGGCTGGAAAGCTTTATGGCGATGGAAACTGTGCAGGGGTAGAGTAAGATTGGCAGGCGAGAAATCTCCTAGGGGTAACTGCAGCAATTGTTGCTGATGCCCTAGCCTTCCCATCAGGGTACCACCTGTGTGAGAGTGCATCTTTATCCCTTTGAGGGGTGAGCTTCCCCTAAAGCCTCCAGGGCCCCTGCAAGCAGAAAAAGCCCTGGTACAGGTGTCATGGCCGGGCATGTCAGTCACCAGTAGACAGATGCTGTCCTGCTCACATGCATTTGGGAAATGCAGGCTGCGGAGTGCCTGGGGCTGTGCGTGCTTGAGTGCCCAGAGGATCATGGGGTGATCGGAGACAGGAACGCCACACAGTGTGGGCAGGCCCACCATGCCACAGCCTCGTCCTGGGTGCTTTCTGGACAAACGTTCTTCAGGACACCCACCTTGAGAACTCTGCCCCAACTCCTTCCCGCCTGTGGTTCTAAGCTGACCTGAGGAGGAGCCAGCCTGAGGACACTGTACCTCCTCCTCCTGCAGGCCCTGGGTCCTCCATCACCTGCCCAGGTGTGGGTGACCAGAGATGGCCCAGAAGGGAAGGTGCAGGACCACAGAATCATGGCACAGGACACCTTCTCCCTTCTCAGGGCCCCACGTGCAGGGGCCTCCTGTGCTTCTCAGTACCAGGTGGAAGGTGAGATGCTGTCGACACTTTAATTCCCAATTAGGGGGTGCTGAGGACAAGCCTCGAGGGTCTCGCTGCTTCTCAGCATTGTTGTCCCCAGGACACACACAGTTCTGGCTTCCTCCTTTCACGTTCCTCAGCTCCAGAGAAGCTTTGGGTCTGAGGTGGAGTCGCTTGTTCCTGTGACTCCCGACTTGTGGAAGCAGAAAGTCAGTGACAGGGCCACAGAAGCCTTGGCAGGACAGCCTGGAAGATGGAATATTCCAGAAGAAGGAACACAGGATGGCCTCTGACAGCCTGTGGGTGACCAGAGGGATGCCAACATGCCGGGGACACCGTGGAAAAGGGGAGCCCAGGAAGGTGTCCCCTCCTGGCGAGGGAGGCCGCTCTGCGTGCAGCGGTGGCACCCTCTGGAATGGGATGAGGCCCACTGGCGTGTCAGGTGGGTGGAGGCCATGGTTCCCCTCTGTCGGCGTCTCCCTCCCTCCCACCCTCCCCTTGGCAGAAAAATGCCAAAAGCAGGTTCCTTCCTTGTGGGGCGAAGATATTTTCCTGGGGCTTTAAGAGGGCACATTTGTGGGTTGTTAATCCAGAACCAACCGCCGCCATTTCACTTCCGAGAGCCTCTGCTGATTAGTTCTTGAGTCCCGCACTGACCCAGGTGTTTGGGGGATGAGCAGGAGCCAGGAAGCCTTCTGACCACGAGAACATCCCAGCAGAGCATCAACAAGAAGTGGAAGGACAAAGGCTTGGGTCGGCTCACCGTCCTTCACCGTAGGACAGAGGTGACGGGGTGTGCTGGCCTGCGCCCCCACAGTGCCGGTGTCGCTGCTGGTGCAGAGGCGGAGACACTGTCTGAGCAACAGACTCTAACACCACACTTGAAAATCCACAGGCTGCTGCCCTTCCACCCAGTGTGGCAACTGGATTCAGAAGCAAGAACCTTGGCTGTGTGTGGGGTCAGGACGGAACCCAAACCTGGGGGCCAGGAAGCGCTCTGCCGGGGCCGCATCCCTGGCCAGTCTTCGCTTCTTTAGAGAAAGGGTTTCTTTCTTCTGCTTTTTCAGATGATAACGGTGGTGTTTTCGTTTGTGGACCACCAGCCTGGAGCTGGCAGAGTAGCCATCTCGCCCGCTTCTGCTTCTTGGCTTGGGGTGTTCTGGCTTTGCTAAAACCCCTCAGTCCATGGCCACAGTGAATCTCCAGGACCTGGTGCTGCTTTAGGAACTGCATTCACCCTGCCTGCCGCACCTCTGCCCTCGGAGCCCACCTACCCCAGGCCACGAGCTCCCCAGGACCTGGCCACCACCCGCCTCCTCTCTCTTGTCGGAGCTTATTTTCCCTCCCGAATGGGAAAGGTAAACAAGGGCACAGGGTGGACTTAGATTGACTTGAAGAGACTCACTCCTCTTTTTTTTTCCTGATGCATATGAATTTTGGATTTGAGTTAGCCCTGATTCCAAGAGCGTGAAATCCCCACACTCATTAAAAATCAATCATCAGGCCCCAAAGGAAGGTCGGCTCCATCTTAAAGACATTTAAGTGTGATTTCAAAATGTGGACATTCTCGTTCAGCTCAAAGCAGTGAAAGACGACACTAATAAGGGAGTCTTCCCGCTACTGCGGGCATCATCAGGTCAGCCCTGTCTGGATCTCAAGCGTGTGATTTTTAAACTAAATTCATAGGGAGGTGTGGGGAAGGCCTTCCAGACTGGCCAGGGAGAGTGTGTGCTGGGACAAGTCTTCCAGACTGTCCACCAGCCTCGAGGACGCGGTTTAAGGACTGCCTTCTCACCACCAGCCGCCGTCACAGTCATCTAATCTGACTGCCTGCCTGCATGCACAAAGAATCCCAGCAACCTAGCGAGAGCCTTGACCGGGAGACCCCATCACCCACCACCACCGTTGATCCAGTCACTTGTGAGGTCTGGAAAGAGAGGAAAAGGCTCGTCCCCATGTTCTTTTGAACATGCACTGGAGCCAGAGACCCACCAGGGTACAGAAGATGCACTGGCACTGGGCGATGGTCGTCATCTGCTCCACTGGATACTCCCCGAGACACAGCTTGCAGGACACCAGCGGGTCGAGGGCCAGGTCCCAGGTGGGCCGGTACCTTGCTGTGGTCATCGCAGAGCAGTCTGAAAAAATGAGAGACGCACAGGGTCAGACCTCCTCACCTGCAGCCTTCACAGGACCCTAGCTGGGTCACATCTCCTCTCACCAGCCCTGGGTGCCAGCGACTGGCTCTTGATGGGGCTGGAGTTCTAGACAGAGCTCCCGTGGATCCTCAGAAATTTTAATCAGGGGCCCTTGACTTGGGTCTGAGGTGCTTCCCTTACCATTTCCATGGTAACTTTCATGTCTATCCTCAAAATGGCAATCGCTCCCCCGTTCCCTCCACTCCTCTAAGGTACATTTGACATGGCACCTCCTTCCAACACAGCACCTACCTCAGGAGAGCAAAACCTTAGCAATTTTGGAAGAGAAGCTCCCGTTGGATTTGGCTCTTCTCCAGTGACTGCTAGAGAACATGCCTGGGAATCCCATCGGCGAAGCTTTTCTCCGCAGCCCCTGGGTCTGCACAGAGATGCACCTTCTCCAACCTCCTGCCCTGTGACCATCCTCAACCTCCAGAAACTGCCCTGTCCCATTGGCTTCTTGAGCCAGCAGATTTCCTGGAACATCAAGTTCCAGGAGGCATGGGTCTTGGGCAGCAGGGTCCACTTACTGGAGGTCAAGAGTGTCTAGTGGATCCCAGCACAATGCTAGAAATAACCCTCACTTCCCCAACCTCCTGGGACTCTCTCTGGCCACAGCCTAGCCCATCAAGGCCAGTGCCCTGGATTCCAAGTGGTTTTCTATTGCTCGGTGGTGCATTACAGAACCACTCTTGCTGGATGGTCTCTCTCCTGCCCCAGGCAGTCAGCAAGCCTGGGGGAGACAGGAAAGGTGTGTCTTTCCAGCCCTGAGCTCAGCACCTGGCCACAGGGCCTCCCAGGGAGTGCCTTCATCTGCTTGCAGAAACAAATGCTTGTGTCTGGGATGTTAATTGTCACTGAGCCCCTACCACTTGATTTAAGCCTCATGCCTTTATTTTGTGCATTCACGCTGAACTCATGCTTCCTAAACTCTGAACCAAGAAAAATTCAGTTACGATTCTAGATAAGATCTCTGCTGTCTGCGCACTCTCTGCTTGCCACCCAGATCTCAGGATCCACAGGGTGTAGATAACAGGTGGCTTCCTGGGCCCTCCTGCTCTGCACAAGCTTTTGTCTTATCCAACCTCTGACTTAGAGCCCAGGGCTGATCAGCACAAGGACCAACACAACACAGGAAAACACAAATGGCCCTGGGACCTTGGAAAGATTCAAAGAGAGAAGAGTTCCCCACCCAAATCCTCAGAATCCATTCAGGAACTTCCTCTACCAGTGAGAGGTTAGCTGATAAGGAGGCGGCCTTCCAGGGTGTGTGAGTCCTGCTGGAGGGAGAAGAACATGCTGGACAGAACCCTCAGCCTAAGACCTCTGGGGTGGGCCTGATGTTGGAGAGGAGAAGAGGAGGTCACGTCCAGTCGAGAGGCAGGAAGATACGACCATCTCTCACCAGAGGACAGGATACGGGAGAAGGAAGGGACTCTGACTGGGGACTCAGTCAATGGGTAGACCAGCACAGGAGAGCTTAAGAGAGAGCCACACAAGGCCTGCCTCACCCACACGACACGGGAAACCCAGGTGCTCCCGTGCTCTGCAGCTGGGGGCTGGGCCTCAGGTTGCTCTGACTCACGAAAGCCACCCCTAGGGTCAGGTTGCCGTTTTTCTTTGTAATTCACATCATCTCTTTCTCAAGTTGTGTCAGTCAAAGCTTCTTGGGTGCCCCTGGGCAGATATTCCCTGAAGACACACCACTGCCCGGAGGGAGGAAGCCAGCGACCCAGAGAAGCTGCAAACCCTGAACTCAGCAGATAAGACAGGGACAGGTGCAGAGCAGCATGAGGGCAGACACGTGATGGACAGGCCACAGGAGCTCACAGGCGAGCGGAATGACAGGAGTGACCTGGAGTCACCCTGGAGACAAGGACAGCCATCCACCCAACACTGCAGGGGATTGGCAGTGGCAAGGGCAGACCCAGTCTCCCAAGTGCCTAAGAGTAACTCACTCTGAAGTACACGTATCTCCACTTGGAAACAAATTCAAGTGATTTTTGGACTGGGTGTCGCCCTCAAGATAATCCAAACCAGCCTCCTCATTTGACGAAAAGTGACAGCTCGGGAAGACTTGGACAACTGGGGTCACTCAGCTCTCTGGAGTGAAGAAGTGGTTTCTCATTGACCCTGGAAGTCATGTTCACTGGGAATGTTTGCACTCTGAATTCCCCACTATTGTCACTGTTACTATTGTTGCTGTTGTAAATGCCCATGAGGGATTTCTGGGTCTACGATTGTCCTTGTGGTTCTCAGTACCTTTTTCTGTCTTAACCCATAATGATTTTTTTTTTCAAATCATATTCCTTTAAAGTTCAGTGTGCACAGTGACGGCTGTTTGGACTGGAACATCAGCCAGCCCTAAAAAGGATCCCAGTCCTCAACCCCAACAGTGAGTTCGGGGTGGGCTTCAGAAACCACCTAAGGCTAGAAACTTTCCCAAAGGACAGCGGCTGCCCCCTGGCTTCCCTGGCCTGCAGAGTGGGACCAGCGGTTGCAGATGCCATGGGGTGGGGTGGGGGGCATGTGGTCCAGACAGCAGGGCGCTGCAGCACTGGTTTGGGGGTAAGGGAACCCAGCAGCCCTGGGCTCATGTCTGCAGGGATGACTGGCCCTCTTCTGTGCTCATTCTCCCTGAGTCCCCTCACCTGCTCCATCGCTCTACAGAGGCGGTGAAGGGGTAGTGAGAAGAAGCATATTTAATGTCGGGGAAATGCTAGCTTGGTGAGAAGGAGGACGATGCCCTGTGGACTAGAGGACAACATGGTGCAGCCGAGAAGAGACATGATTAGAGTGTGCAGTCGGGAAGTTCACGGGCGAGGCACCCGTGGGAGAGAGCCTCCTGCCTGGGCATCAGCTGTGCCCTAGGGTTTCCGGGGGGACACGTGCCCAGAGTATGTGGCAAGGGGAAAAATTCCAAGGCCCGAGGCTCCTGCCACAGCCCACGCCTGCCTGCGAGCCATCTCCTGCCCCCGATCCCCGTGCAGCCTGAGCCCCAGGCCCAGCCCCATCCAGCCTTGCTCACTCCCAAGCCCTTTCTCCCAGCTCCAGAGCTTGGCTCCATTCCCTGTGGACAGCCTCGCTGCCAAGACCCTTGGCACAGCATGGAGACTTGACCTCTCTTCCTTCCTCTTCTGCTGGACCATGATCTCTATGCACCCCCAGACGATGTGGCTTCCACTGTCCTTGGCACCGGGCAACCTCAGCCCTTGCCTCTGCTCCTATTCCAGCCCCTCAACCACACGTGAAGCAGGTCAAATCCCTATCTCAGGCACCATATCTCTATCCTTTTGTTTTTGTTTTTTTGTTTTGAGATGGGGTCTTTTGTGTTGCCCAGGCTGGCCTCAAACTCACGACCTTCCTGCTCAGCCTCCCAAGTAGCTGGGGATTACAGACGTGCACCAGGGCACCTGGCTCCGTGTCCGTGCCCATTCCCTGTAGAGTGCAGTCTCTGAACTGCACTTAACATCATGATTCCATTGGTGGCCACAGGACATATTTAAACAAGCCTATATTGTGCAAGCCAGCCACGGCCCTCCCTCCACAGCATGGCCTGAATATGATTCTGCAAACACCGGACAGCTGCAGACTGGCAACAGGAATTTGCTAAGAGAATCACAATGCACAACAAAAGAAAAAACAGTCTTTGTTTTCGTACTGTGAATGTCGAGTCATATGAAACAAGAAACTATTTTAAGAACATCTGGTCAATTATGAATATTATTCAATTACAGCAATTCCAAGTGTTTATAAGGCACGTTACTTATTTAGCATGACGGCGGACATGCGGTGGAGAAGGTGTGGATAAAAGACAGCGAGACCTGGAGAGACAATGGCCCACGGAGGAAGACGTTCACCATATTAATAGAGGGGCGTTGTGGCTCTGTGACGGAGCTGTCCCTTCTCTCAGCTCCAGGGCAGCATCCCTTCCACCCTCTCCCTCCTGAGCAAGGCAGGTGCCAGCCATCCCTCTCCCACTCACTCTCACGACATCCTCTGGGAAGCCCCACTCTGCTTTCCTGGTGTTGGCCGGTCACCTCCATGTCTCTTCCCCCACTGGACTCCCTTCTCCATCCTTGCCACCTCTCCAAACCTTGGCAACCCTCCATGCCCAGCACCCACCCCCCGGGGTCAGGGAGTCTGCCCTGACTCCTCAGAGCCCTCACCTGTCCCCCTTCCTCTGAGTCTCTGGTCCTCCGTGGATGGCAGCAGCAGCAGCTCTTCCTGAGAGTTTGCTAGTACTCACCTCCTGGGCCCGCCCACAACTGCTGAAGCAGAACCCCTGGAGGTGGGGGCCCACAAGCTGGGTTTTCACAAGCCTTTCAGGGGATCCTGATTCACAGTACAGTCTGAGAACCACTGGTCTCTACCATCCCACTCCATAGCACTTCCCACTCTCCACCTGACTCCAAAGTCCACGTGGGCTCAACTCACCAAAGCACAGCTCCACAACACCCAAACCAAACAGCCTGGACGGCAGGCCTGGGCTGGACTTGGCACGTCAGGCTTTATTTGTTCTTCATCACAACTCTTTCTGGGTTAAATGTGGCTTCTGAAGCCCATGCTATGAGTTAGCTCATCTCCCCAGCTGGATGCATTATTCAAGGGCAAGGGCCGTGATTCCTCCTTGTGGGCAGTGTCAATCACGGGCGGACACTCCATAATCACAGGTACGTAGCCACACATACATGTGCAGAGTGCGAGAGAGCAAGAAGCTTTTCAGTGTACCAGGCACTGTGCTGATGAGCCTCACACATTTCACCCATGAGGTGATGGAGCAGAGCTGGGTCTGTTACTATGAATTCACGTTTAGCTTAACACAGAGGCAGACGGCCATGTGATGATATTTGGATGCATTTACACACACTGGCCAGCACACACCCTGCAGTCCTTGTGTCCGCTGAGGGCACAGACACAATGATGCCTCCTACCAGAAG